TACGTTCTTAAGATCTTCAATATCATACTTCGTGCGCAAGATGTCACCATGGTGGAATCCTCAATCCCCACTTTCCAGGTCTTCTGCGAGAATCATGATATGGCAAGTCTTTCCGCGGATCAGGAATATCTTCACCAGTACGAGGAAATCGTGCGGATCTACGCGTCATTCGCTTCTACAAGAACGCAAATAAGCAGTAATCCTCAGAGCGCGCCCGTAGCTATTAGATGGAGGGGTCTTGGCTTACAAGCGGTCAAGAGTGTGGCATCTTCTGAAGCTTTGGCTACAGTGGCGGGAAGACAATTGGACGTCATTGTGCCGATATTGTTGGAGAATATTTGGACGGATAATGAGGAGTTCATTGATATATTGCAACAACGATCTGAGACAGAAGAGCACATTGGAATGGAAAAGTCATTGTCAAAGAGAAGGGCAAGCAATGCGACGGCCAGAACGGCCGATGAGGCAGGAGAGAATGGTACCGCTTTACCTGGAACAACTGCAGACGTAGATAAATTGGCAGAAGAGAACATTGGTGTTTTAGCTACACAATGTTTAAAACAAATCTTTGTCGTCAACAATCGAGCTCAGGTTCACGGAGCTACGACAGCTGTATTGAAGTTCATTGCGGACCGAGTCTCCCAGAAAGAATCTGTTATTGAGAATGGTCCAAACGACAACTGCAAAGGATGGGCACCACGCATTTTTGAAATGATTGCCAGATGGACACCAGTCCAAGATCGATATGTCATTCTGGTGACGGCCATGGATAGTTTGGTGCGGGCTGATCAAGTTGAGGCCACTCTTATGCAACAGCTTGTTCTTGCAACAATGGTAGACGCTTTACTCAAATCCGATATCAACCTGATAGGATTAAGCGTAATGGATGTTTTACTGGGACTGGTACAGCACATATTGATAGTTCTCCAACTTGGAAATGTTGGTGGACCTCATCTTCAGCCAGATAATGGAGCCGATGAAAAAGTTGATACTGGTGCCTTGCATGGGTCAATTACATCTGAACCAGCTCTGGTACCAACAGGCACTAGGAAGGATCTCTTAGCCCGATTGCAGAATTGTCTAGGAGATTTGGCCACGCACGTTTACTATGCAGATCAAATATCTGATATGGTTTCAGCGATTTTATTACGTTTGAAACCTCCAGCACTATCACCTGTTCCAAGCACTGCTGCAGCAATTGAAGATCCAAAATCTGCCACAGAGGCTCTGTTGTCTAGCACTAATATGACCGAAGATCCAAATACTGATGGATTTTTCTCATTTGATACAGCCAAAATCACAGCTCTGGAATCGATAAAGTTGATTCTGCTTGTGGCAAGTCATAAGACTATGACTGCTGGAAACCTGGGAAGAAACAGAGTTCCAATCAAGACTTGGGAGGGTACACAATGGTTATTGCGTGACACGGATGGGCGTGTGAGAAGAGCGTACGCTGATGCACTATTGACGTGGCTTGATCGGGAGGTGACAAATGTTGATCAGCAAATCTTTGACGAGAAGCCGAAGGGATTGGCGAAGAGTGCAAGGGATGAATCATTCACCAATCTCACGAAGAGAGCAGTTTCGAACGCATCAAAAGCAGAGAAGCCCTCTAGACCGTCATTACGAACAACATTTTCACAATTGCTACATCTTGCTATCTATGAGAATGCCTTGCAATTTGTAGACTACGAGAACGATATACTCCTACTACATCTTCTCCTCACAAGTCTTGTCAAACATTTGGGAGTAAATGCGATCAGAAGCGGTTTGCCCATGATGTTTCAATTACAAGAAGATATAAAATCGTTTGAACTACCAGCTCAAAAAGTCCGAATCGGAAGTCTATGTCATGGATATTTCTGGGCGTTGTGCGAGAAGTTCGAAATTGAAATGTCACCCGTTGGCAAGACAATCCAAGACGAAATCCGTCAACGTCAAAAGGCTATGTTCTGGGCTGATAGCATTCGATTTCCTCCTGTTAGACTCAATGATATTGGCCCACAAGGGAAAGTAGCATCCCAGCAAGAACAAGCTCCCACTTATGCTGGAGCCGACTCTTTGTCAACCTTCGATGACAGGTTTCAATTAGTCAAACTTATCTCATTATCATATGCAGCATCTCTAAATTCTCCTCCAAGCAGCCCCCCAACATCTCCTGGCCGAAGCTTTATCCATCCAATTCTTAGTGCGGATGCGCCTTCTTCAACACGAGATACTATCATACCGGAAAGAATCAAGGAAGAAATGATGTCAGAATGGAATAAGGAGTCTGTGATTGCCATTGCGCAGGAAACTAGCAAAACTGTCTCAATTAGTGGATCACGTGCAGGTACAATGACCACTGGCCATCGCAATTTTCTTACTATCAATGGACTAGGTAATGGTAGTAACAGTGGAGCAGCATCTCCTACTGGTGCTCAAAATCCAAAAAGTGGTGCAAATTCGACTTATGGGACCGCAAGCGGGATTAGTGCCATGCACAAACTAAGAAAAGGTAGTGGGCATTCACATGCGCCTGCTAGTGAATCGAGCCGTGGGTCAGTAACAAAGGTTGACCAATTAAAGCGAGTACTCTCGGGTCAGACAGCACCTTTACCAGCTACAAGGGCCGGCGCGCCACAGAGTGATGCAAGTAGTGAGAGCATGGTTAGTTATGACTTCTCAGCTTCAGAAATATCTATCAACACGTACAACCAGCAAAATAGTTCGGGTGTAGAACGATCTGCTTCTATGCGTTCGAACGGACGATCGAGATCGAAATCACGAGACAGAGCAGATGTAGCACATGATGACACAACAGCTCCCCCTGTTCCACCACTTCCATCCTCGCTTGTGGGTGAAAACATATCCATTCACGATCAAGCGCAAAATCATTCGCCTGAAGGATTTCGAACCGGTCGAAGCACAAAAAGAAGCACAAAAAGTAGAGCCGGTGGATACTCAAGTATGCCATGGGGTGAAGATAATGGAAAGGTGGTAGACCTTCAAGATCTACTAAGTGGTATTGATATTGGTGGGGATGAAAAAGGGAATGTTGGTATGCCACCTTACTGAGGTGTCAATTTTCAGGGTTTCTGGAGATACAGCGCGTTTGGTATATTGAGACAAGATGATAGAGTTGCATATAATTCATAGTACCGATCTATGTACTATACCTCATTTTGTAAGCATGGAGTTTTTGGTTGACAACACTTGTGGAATGTCTACTGCTGGGTCGAGTCATAGCGATTGATTTTTGGGGGGGAAGAGGCACATACGTCTCGCAGCACATAATAATAGAGAAAATGAAGATGAGTTTTGTTGTCATGGTCATATGTTATATGCTATATGTAGGTGTCTAGTGGTGCAGATTGCTGTTTGATAGTGTTGATTTCGTGGTTTTTGAATTGCTGAGCGGGAATGCATTTGAATTCTCGTGCCTTTCATATTCATTTCTAACCTAAAAGTACGAATTTGTGGGCACAGTAATTATTCTAGTAGCATATCTAGATTTTTGTTTGATTTTCTTGGTTCTGAAATGTAGCTTTATTCACATGCGGAAAAGTGTAATACTGGGTGGTGGTTACATAGTCTGATAGGATCACCAGTGGGTGCATGGATTGACGGGACACTTCCCAACTTTCAAATTTTCTAACAAATTCATTCTTTAATTGTTTGAAGTTAGAAGTTATATTTCGATTGTTTTATTTCTAATCAACGATTGCAATAATTCTGAAGAAATAGGGGTTGATCTATCAAGAGATATTTATAAGTCTATTTTTGGAGTGTCCCGTTAGTTTGTACACCCACTGATGTATACCTCTCAATTGTCAAGTTAATAACAAAGCTGTTATTCGATTGTTTGATATTAGTGTTCTTTTCACTTATTATTGTTCAATTTGTATTGATTAATCGTATGAAATTTCAAAGTATCTGAATTGATATTTTGAGAGATGTTGGCAAGTCAATTTACGCTATTTCCCGCCGGTATTTGAGGCAACGGGTAGTGCATCACAATTTAGTCCGTAATCAGGTTTGCAAAATGTGTGCGAGGCAGTGAGAGAAAACCCTCGAATCTGCATAAATTCTCTTACTATATTCACTTGTGAAGCACGTCTTCAATGGATCTTCTGGGATGATTTTTTTTTCGTGGCTGCCTGCACGGATAATTTCATCGAGTTCATACTAAACGCTTTCACGGTCCCGTACGAGCCAGTGAATGAAAACTGCGTTCAAGGTCGGCGCCTTTATCTTTCCTTATCACTCAGATGATTCGACCTTTCAAAGCTTATTCCTGGTTTACCTGCTGCTCACTGGTGCAATTCTTGCACACTGGATGGTCATAAAACTAGATGCATATCTTTTCAAGCCTTTGGCAATAGTTCCTGTTGCAAAAACTCCCCAATATGGCATGTATAAGTCCTTCATCCAATAGATTGGGTCGATTCCTTCCATTCCTATCGCTGATATATCATGTGTTCGCAGCTTTGATACACTTCCACTGCGACGACGCAAGTCCTTCTCTGTGTTAAATGGGATTTAGACCGTATTATTATTGATATTGGATACGGAAAGGACTTTGCGGGAAGTAACTTGCATTTCATTTTAGGGATTCAACTTTAGGGCATCAAAGGTGAAAGACTGATTATTGGGCAAGCTTAAAATCAAAGGCGTGTTGAAAAATGATGTTCTGCCCCCCTAAAATAAGCGAGCCAACGAATTAGCGCTCATAACATCGTACAGGACTTACCACGTACCGTTCCAAAGCAAGATTCCTGGATTTTGCCTTTGCCTGGAATCTATCAAATCGATAATCAAAGGTGGAGTATGTTCCGAAAGGAAGAGCTGGAAAGTTGTAAAGTGTAGGTGCAGCGAAAAAAAATATATAACAGTGTTAATGGCAGTAATTTATCGTTTTTCAACAAACAATTATTTCTTCTGTAATCAACTCGAACGTTTCAAGATAATCTATCCATCTCAAATAGCTGAGGATCCGTTCTTGCAATAGTAATACCAAAATGTCGAGCAATAATCCTACATCTCAGTAAGTCTAAGATCTTCTCACAAAACCTGCTCATAACTCACAAACCGTTCTAGAAATCAAATTCCCAGCGAATCTGGCCAAAACCCTCAATGCACTCAATATCAGCAATCACAAACTTACCAGCAACACTCTCAAGGCTATCAACAATCCACATACCAAGAACAACCATACCAACAAACCCCATATACCCCATCCTATTCTACACAGCCTCAAACCCAACAACTCGTCTATCAAAATCCCTCTTACCAAAATGATCAATACCAACAAACCACCTATCAGAATACTTCAACTACGTGGGCTCCACAATACAACCAGCAACAACAATTCCAGGCACAATACCAAACCGTGCAGCCTGCACAGCTTACACAGCATTCGCTTCAAAGTCTGCCTGTCCCTGGAAGAGACAATGTGAATGTGTATTTGCGAGATGATCAGAATTTTGAGAGAGTACCGCAAGGATTGGAAACGAGACGGGAAGCCGGACTTCAAAAATGGGAAAGAGGGTGGAATGCTGCGGGGCGCAGATAAACGGGGCTAGTGCGGGGTGTTTTTCGGTTTCTGGACTTTGTCTTTGAGTGGCGGGAATGTTGGATATGATTTTGGACGAGGAAATCATAATTATGAGTGATGGCTTTAATGGTGAAGGGTTGAATTTGACATCGAATGTCGTGCAGGGAAGAAATGTGTTGAAAGGTCGTTGTGTTTACGTGCGGCTTCTGGGAAGCATGGACAATATAGTTTAATTCATTTGTGTTCAAAGTATCTCTGCCCCCAATGATCCGCATCGATTGTGGCTATACAAGCCCCCAAATCTTGATAATTGAGACATATCTACCGTATGAGTGCACGGTGACACGGTCTCATTTGGGGGCTTCAATTATGGGCCATGTTATGATAAGAGACTACAGCTAATCGACCATGGCACTGTGTATATCGCATGGAGATTGGAGTGGGTACATTCCGGAAGGACTTTTCTTCGGTGGTGTTCCCTTGGGAGGTCCTCTGACAGGACAAGAAGATTGCAGAAAGGAATGTGCAGGACTTGAAGATACAGGACTTTTTGAGACCGGGTCAAGCTTCTGATTCATGCTGGTATCGTCAAGTCCTGTCACGGCATCTCAATGTACGTGATCTGGATCTAATAATACATATGCGTCTCAACCTAGCACTCTTAACCATCTCCAATTTTAGCAATATTCACTTCACGGATTTGCACACAGTCTCATAGTGGGCAATTTGGAGACATCGAATAGTAACCCTTGTGATTCGAGTTAATTTTTCTATCTTACTGTTGAAAGTCTGGAAATCTTGTTTAGGAAATCCACTCGGATAGCTGTATGAGTTAAAGTCTACATAACCACATCTTGGAAGATGGATTCGGGATCTCGATCTCGATATTATTGGTAATCTAGTCATATCGTCATCCCATCACTTTCTTCGTGAAAGTTAACAACATATGAAAGCTAGAGTTACGGCTACTTTTTAACTGACTTCAAAAGTGTCTCATCATTGCCTTCTTGTGCTAAATCGAGCCTGGAGAATCTAAGTCAGACTCACTTCATCTATTCTTAAGGAAGCTTAGCACAATTTATCGTAGGTCTTGCAATGAATGTATTCATAATACGTGAATGTCAATGATGGGGAGAAGCTTGAAATGTGGATGAAATGTTGATCTTTATTGAGATAAAGTGCTACATAAGCAAGCTAATATGGCTAAGTTATTGAAAAGTATTTTATCGATCCATTGGACCCGCCCAATAAACAATAAACCAGCTTGATGATAGAGGAGACGGGACAGAGTACCTCAATGCTCATTAGCCCCCAAGGTAAAAAGCAGCTCGGCCCTTCCTCAGATCCGAATGAGAAACAAATCCTCATTAAACCACCCGGGCCCTGGTTTGAAGGTTTCCACTCAATGAGAAACCGGCTTTGTCGCTCCTTCATACCGTCAAGTATCTTAATGACCATTCCAAAATGCAAACCCCCCATGTAAATTCCTGTCAAAGGAAATTGAAAAAATAAAACGGCTTATCCTCAGAATTCAGTGTTTCTCAACACTTCAGGAACTGATTGCGATCGATTCTGCTTAGGTCTGTTTGTCATTCCACCGATTTTTCGTGGTGCTTTTGTAATTCTCCTGCCGGCTCTTGGCTGTTTGGTATTTTCCGCCATCGAATTTCTTCGATTTCGCTTTTGTCTAACAATTACAGCACCATGCATATTCTCTAAGTGTGCATCGCGGTTTCCTGTTCTTGTAAATGTCGCTTTGCAGTCTCTCATTTTGCAAACTACCCGATCCTTAAGTGTTATCTTGTGCTTTTCTTTCTCGTGTCGTCTTAAATTGCCTGATTTCCATTGGTCTTCTCCGCCCGGCTCATAATTGCAGCCTGCATAAGAACATCTTATGACCTTGGTGTCAGACTTCGGGGATGGAGTGTCGTATGTGGATATTCTTGCTTGTTCTTCTTCTATTGGCAATTGGGTCTCGGGTATGGTAGCGAAATTAAAATTCTTATTAAATCCTCTACAAAGACTAGTAAGCATGAATTCTTCTTCGAGAAGGGATAGGGTACCTACCGCACGTTTTCTGCAGACCACGGAGATGCATGTTTTTCTTCATAAGTCCCAAAGAAGTTGAGAGCGAATTGATTCTCAGTGTCCATGGTCGGAGTAAAAGTAGCAGCGCCGGTCGTCGCAAACTTTTCCGCTCCGGGTATGAAATTATTCAAGCAGTCAAGTCCACATTGAATTGTTGATTGCAGGTATTGGGCAGCATCTCCGGTGGGGAAGTTGTTTGGAAGTCTTTGATCAATAGCTGTGGCACTTTGTGCCATGTATGCGGTTAAAGGATTATCAATAACTCCCCTATCCCCGGACTCCAAAGTGTTTTCTTTGAAATCAGGATGATAAGAAGCTTGCATTTTCTGATCTCTGCACAAATCATCAAGCTCAAACTGAATAGTTGCAAGGCCAAACCAGTTGAAATCATTTGGATGTTTTGATTGCAGACTATAACTTTGGTCAAAGTACCTTTCGTGACTAGATTCTGATGGGTTTACTAGCTGCCGAGCTTTACTGAAAAATTCATTCTCAAACCCAAGCCGTTCGTCTCCCGGAAATATACTTCTCGGGCTGGTTGCAGAAGTATAATCGGATTGGGGGGCTCTAGGACCATAGCTCGAATCGCTTGGAGATGTTTCGCTGCTAGTATCCGTACTAGCAGTATCTGGTGATGATATCTGAGGAGAAACTTCGAACAGCCGCCCTTGATGTTGAATAGCATCAAGGTTACTTCCGAACCTTCGCACGTCCGTCTGGATTGCAGGGCACATCGATCCACGAAATCTGGGGGATTGGAGAGTCATGGAAATTGAGGGTTCTAGCGACAGACACGCCGCATCCATCTGGGTTCGCATCTCAGCGGTTGTATCGGTCATTTCAAACTCTGCAGAGTTACCAAAGCCAATATCATCTGATAGGCAATGGCCAGCACTAGGAATTGACTCTTGAGTTTCAATGTACCATGGGGTTCTAGAGCCAATTTGATCACCATCAACGCATGTAAACTCTGTAACAAATGTTGAACCAGCTTTAGGTGTGTCAAGAGATGCGAAATGACCTTTGGATGCGGAACTTGGAGATACTATGGCTTGTAAAGTGGATGATATTCGCTTTTGATTGTTTGAAAAGCTATGAACTGCGACCGAGGTTGACTGACCATAATTCAGACTGCCTTCTGGAAGTTCTGACAACAGGCTGCTATCTGGAAGTTCATGAAAATTATTCTCCCCGGAGAGTTCTGTCAGAAATATAGCGTTTGCGCTCTCAGGAAAGTTTTTGAGACTGGGAGATATGTATCCACAATCAGATGAGAATACGCTTTGCGGTGTAAGTGCTGTTTCTTTTCTGCTGCCATTCATAATGGAATCTCGATAAGGAAGTGTTGGATCGTTCTGAAGGTACTCCATAATATTCTTCCTGTTAGAACACTCACAAGAATGTGGTGATCCGGTGCATTGTACCTCATTCCGGCTATCTGTGGAAATGCGGAGGGAACTTGGTATTCCATAACGTCTTCCAAACATGGTGAATGCCTTCTTTCCAGTTGCTTTCTTTTGTTGTTGGGGACTTCGACAGCACACCGTCCTAAAATCAGACTTGTCAAGCTTTTCTATCTTGGTCCAATGAAGGCAAAGGCGATGGTGGAAGATACGAAAGTGCATGAGCCTTTGAGTCTTGATCTTTAAAGCTTTGCTTGGTAGTGAAGATTTAGTTGCTCATAGGCGATGAGCGATGATCAGAATGTTTTCAATAGAGAACTGAAGCAAAGTTAGTTTAAAGGTTCAAGGCTGCGTCATTTCACTGGGTAGGATAATATTATACCGAAGTTTTGACCACTTAATTTGGTATTTTTCGAGGACTTGGTGTGATATTGGTGTCGATGTTCAAAACTGGGAGGTGTTTGAGACAGTACTTCCGATGGGTGTTAGATAAGGGGGCATTAATGCTCAGTAAAGGAAGTGAAAGAACTGATGTGATGTTTTCAGCTAGACTGAGGCCTCCTGATAATCTGGGATGGGGAAGGGAATCAATGCAATCCCATGTTGGGAGACTGAGTGTGCTTTGCTTTGGCGACGGTGTGGTACTAAACCATCTAACCACTCGCAAGACATAGCTTTATATATCAATAGCTGCATATCTTCTGTATCAAGGATAGTTGCTCGCTGCAGCATAAGGAATAAACTGTAATATATTGGCGTGGCATGTTGCTCATGACCAGCTGCATAGTCTTTCGAATTGAACCTTTGTTGTACAGTATGGCGGCAGGTGCACTGGTTGAAGGGTTTTCGATCGGCACGGAGAATCCAATAGATTGAGAAAGTAGAGTCCTTAGAGGTTTATCAGTCCTTATTCTCAATACAATAGGTGGTAATATTACCTCAACAAATGTCTGCCTCGTTTGCCTCATAGCAAGTGAGTGGATGTGGGAGGTCGGAAGCGTGATCAACGAGTGAATAGAGCCAGGGGATAGTGTAAGTTCTTCTGCGGAGACGTACTCGGCGATGGGCAAGTACGAGTCCTTTCTACCAGAAGAACTTAGGGTTGTGTAATGATGCAGAAGAGTCGATAGTGTGAAGAAAGTCGTAGACTTCAACCTTATTCCATGCAAGAACCGTCTCTAGAAAGGAATGGGAAGGACTTCTTAGTCCGTATAGTAATGTGAAAGACAATGCCAAAGGCTCCAAAAAATAGTGAACCCGCGCGGAAGTCTTGGGTGTGAAAAACAGTACAAGATTATCATGTTATAAGAGTCGGATTTTTTGTTTTCAAGATCTAGAGCAGTGGCTAAATGATATACTAAATATTCACAACCAGCCCCCATTGCTCTCTAACGAATTAATCCTTCAGCCCCCGATAAATGCCATATTCGTCAAAGATATGCTGCAGTTCAAAACTTCTCAAGCAATCTAGCGCTGATTATGGGGGCCGTGGAAAAAATTACAGGCCTTGAGATGCGGAAGATGTGGGAACTTTGAGGTGGATTTTCTGTACCAATTTGTCAATCTACCATTCTGACATACCTAAAGCTGGGTAACATTCAGTTCGTATCAACAGATTCCGTATTTGGAGAGCTGCATCGAAAGGATTGAAGGCTTTTCGCAGGACTTCTCCGGGGCGTTTCGCAGGACTAAATGTATGCGATTCTTGGCTATCTTAAGGAATAAGAATTCTATCTGTTAAGATTCATCATGATTAGTTACTAAAAGATGACTTTCTGCGGCTGTTGCGACTATTGAATTACTACAAACAATTTACTACGACATTCCCATCCGTCAACCCAACCCCGCATTTTGCCGTCCACAGCGTTTCATCCGATTTCTAGAAGGCGCTTAAGTATAATCTATGACCCTTGAGCTCAATTACCTACAACTCAAGTCAAGTGCGATTCTTTTCATGATAAGAAGAACAATAAGTTGATTGGACCTATTTCCTATTGTCGTTATAATGCTTCATTTGTCTTTAGCGCGGGCCTACCGAATCGTTGGCTCATGAAATCGAACTCTTTGGACCCGTACCAATTGCTGAAAAGCTAGAACTACCGTGCGAATAGGAACAGAAAATTGCGATCACTGCACTTACTATACGACCAATGATCAATTTTCCAAGAGAAACACACCAACGACTATTCCGTACCTCCCAAGGCTGAGAGGCTCAACATTCGCGGGAAACATTCGGATGGTCGGGATGAACCACATACCCGGTATAGGGCGGTCATTGAACGAGCCATGGATTACAAAAACCGTAAGAACTACTTGTATGTGATCAATGTTTTGATTGGATTGACCCATAACTTTTCAAAAATTCATCGAGATTTCTGCAAATTAGGGATGCAGTTCTTAGCATTTTTTGGTTTGCAAAACCTGCAATCAATTCCAAGATAACTTCATCATCAGAGAACCGAATCCTTTAGATTTGGAATAGTCACAGAAAGTTGTGATTGATTATCGTAAGTTTAGCTTTGATGTGGTTCCATTTTGATTTGAGCTAGTATGAATGAAATTGACACTCAGAAGTTGAAGTAGAAAGCGATTGTAAAAGCTATTCGGTGTGACGATCATAAGTTTTTTCAATTTTAATTCACGCCTCCTTGATTGCAACAAAAGTACAGACAATTTGTCTTTCCCTATAAGTTTTCCGTCGTAGACCTAGCAATTGAACCATTTTCAGCTCCGGGGTAACTTTAGGCCGCGCGTCTTTGCAATATTGATTCGGGCATCAATATAAATTGGGAGAAACAGGGCAATTGAATCCGAAATGCTTTAAGTCCGCCTCGAAGGATTATCTTGGTTCGCCATCAATATATGCGAACCATAACAAGACCTCGTCATCGCATGGCTCGAGTCTGGTCCGTAGATGGGTCAAAATCGTAGTTTTGTTTGTAGATGATTGAACTCTCGAGAAGCATTTACTAAAAGATGGTTAAGATGATGTAACGATAAATTGATTGAGGCTATGAAAGCAGTAAGGACTGGAGACGTTCGACGAAAAATCAAATAAAAGCAACGCAGTCTAGAGAAACAAATATTAAGTATCCGCTGATATATTTCAAGTACACACTTCTCATCGAAGCTTATTTCCGTCTATAGCATTGCAATTTCATTCCAAGATTGGCCTGGCCCGTCCCCATCAACACTAAAAAGAAAAGTCAGAGATTGACTTCAATATTCTACTACTCAACGACGACTCTTACGTTGTAATATAGGACTTATTCAATGATTGGTTGCTGGCACTGTGAAGTCGGCCTGTTGAATGTGTTGATTAGCGCGCACTCATTGCAGAACAAAAGATTAAAGGATCTCGTTACCGCGAGGGGCAGGGCCAAGGATAGGTACTGCTAGGTACGACTGCAAGTAATCTCTCATACATCCACGATCTGCAATGTTATGACCATGCGGCTGGTTGGACGAATTCACCGGTTCAACCCCTAAAGGCCTACTGGTATCGGCGTGGGAAGATGGTTGTCTATGCTCGGCTGAGTCGCCGTTGGGAAGTGCAGGCCATTCACCATCCCAGTAATCATCAGGTACAAATGGCTTCGGCTCAAGATTTAGTCGTTGCATCAACCTCAAATAAGATCCTTCATCCAAACGTGAATCGTATGCTCGTGCCCGAGGACCCGTGGTCATAGTTTTAAGGCTTCTCGGTGAGGCGAAGAAAACATGAGGGATTTGAAAATTGCCTGGACCGCGGCGGAGATACTCAATATCCCGAAACCAGTAGCGTGAGCGGCAATTTTGTGGGAAAGTGAGTCGCCCGGTATCCTGGGCGCGCTCATAATGTCCGTAGGGGGAGAAGATCGACGGTCCAGAGGTATTAGCACAGTGGAAGGTACCATGAGTCATCTAATCAGTATTCTGTTAGCCTTTACTAACCATCAACCAGTACTGCAAAGGCTTTTACTTGAACGAATGATAGCTTAGGTATGTCTGGCCTATTCCCATCGGGCCCATAATGTTTTCCAATTATCACTACAGGGTGACCGTGCCCCTGTTTCTTCAAGACACAACCTCCGTGTTCTTGACACGGATGGCCATTGACATCAGACCACATACATTGCAAATCCTCCGCAAAGCTTGTCCTTGGAAGGAACAGTATACAGCCAACTTCGATGTCCTGTGCCCGCACATTCTGGCGAGTTGTAGACATACTAAAGGAAAAGCAGAAGAAAAAAAACAAGGTGTTGAGACAGACAATACTAAGAAGAGCTTTTTCAAAATGTGAAATATAAATAAAATAGACTATTAAAATGATGAAGATCTTCCAGAGATGCTTGCCGAAAAGAAAGTGAATATGAGATTTCGAAGGGAGAGACTCAGATTCTTATCAATGAATGTAAGCTCCCTGTGGAAATAGAAAGATGGAAATGGAACCAATTTTCTTCGCCCAACTCGAAAACAACAACTTCTAAGACGGCAAACTGAATTCCATCAAAGAAGAGTCTCACAAATGCTTCGGCACCAGATAATCTCACAGACACTTCCGTGAGACATTACGAGGCCTTTATCAGCAGGTATGTGTGGAAAGACAATAACAAAGAAAAATCATTCAAAATCTTAATGGGATCTAAAGCTGAGGCATAATATAGCCTTTATAGTTGCCTATATCAATATTTGGTATCGATGTTCCAGACATTGGGCGATATCGTGGTTGAGGTCAGTCCATCAATTCACTTGGACCTCAAAACCTGCCGTCAATGTCTATCATTCGATATCTAGTAAACACTGGTTTACTTCTCAAATTTGGTTCAAAAACACTATTTCAGGTGAAGCAGATGGAATCGTAGGATCAATTTACTTTGAGCAGAGGAGAAGTGTTTAATTTTTTTCCTGCTGTGAGGTGTGAAGCCTGAGCTTTAATGACTTATCCACAAAAGGGAAAGGCGCACGGTAACCGCGGCCGCAAAGCGTTTCCACAAAGCCACTTCCGCTTATACATAATAAAATGCAGTGTGCATTGGTTCGTATGCACAACGAGGATAAATATAGTTGTACTTGTGTCCTACTGGATCGCATACCCACAAATGGTCGCAATCCGATAGAAGAGGCCTCGTAGGTTATCTTACAGATAGAAGTCTAATGCAAGTAATGGATTCAGTGATAATACCTGTGATCAAATTGAATCTTCATCTTGAATCATACTATAGAAGCCCTAGGATCCTTAATCTTACCCCTTTTCTTTATTTCGCCTACGCATGATCTTAACGGCTTGATTCACATCTACATACTACCACACGAGATCATTGAGTGATATCATTTTTGGCTAGTGAATTCCAAGCTTTTCACATCCTATACATGTTACTCATGCGAGGTCAAGATATGTTAACAAGATTGCCGGTTTCCCAGTAGATATATACGCCAATCATAAATGGAAGCCAGAGCAAATGGAAATTTAATAAAATCCCATGAAATCATACATAGATTTCTCTAACGGTGACCAATGCGCTTCTGTCTATAGATAGACGAGACATTATTCTTGATCTTCAATTTGGTTCTAGAAGAGGCCAAGAATCATATGTAGACAAATTAGGCATGTTCCTATCATATACCAATTTCTCACTTGAAAATTGTTGTTCAACTCCAATTACAGGTGTTGATCCTGCATTCTAATATGTCTGATAGTGTTATCGAATATCTAGATGAGATCAATGAAAGAGGATGCACGGGGCAACAAGTACAGAATTCCTGAAACATAGCATTTTGTGTGCGTGTGTGTCATCGATAGGAATGCACCGTAGTTGAATGAGCACAACGTTGAAAGTCTTTGCAGTTGCAATTTCGTCAATGCTAACATCTTACCATCGTCTGCAATAAATGTTCTTCCAGCATATCTTCTTTTATTTTCTTGGTTGATCAACTATAGTCTCACGACGACGTGATATTGATCACAGCTCACAGAACGAGAACTTATGAATGCCGTCATTTCTGGGGCATTTCCCGTGCACGTTCACATTTTAATGATCTTCATTATCATCCCATGTGATTCGTCCCGCTTTACGAACATACGTGAATATAGAAGCTTGGTCTCAAGACTCATCTTCTCAAACTGTCAGCTGTCTTTCTCGCTCCTAGAAACTAATTGGTGCCTGCGGAGCGAATCGCCACCTACCTCATTTGATCCTTCTCAACTACCCGTGGACCTACTGATAACTCCAGATTCGTGTAGCAACCGCAAAGTCCAAAATCAACTCATTAACACAATCAAATTCTAGGAGGAATGACACAGTGATAACCAAGTCAATCCTACCGAGCAATTTGTCAAAATGCAAGGAGGGCGGGGTTTTAACAACTTAAGTAGTTCGGAAATAGCTGTAGACGATTTAGCTATTAACGAATCCAAGAATCTCCAACCTTTCACTCAGTTTTAGTGGAGTCATCTCACTATCATTTCCCACCGGCCCGCAAAATTCCGAATGCAAATGAATTACTTCACCTCGTTTCCTTTGAAATGCAGCAATTATATCAATATCAATTGCAGATAACTTTATCTACAGATTTTGTAACTCGCAATTCCGCTCAATAAAACGAAGAAACCTGTTCTCATCACTCATCTCAGAAGTTAAGGACCCCTTATGAATTAATTCAAAAAGTATCTGTTACTCATGAGTACTGCTTTCTACGTCTGCATGTTGGAAATTCAAACTCACAATATTTCGCAATCTCAGTATTGTAGATTGGCATGTTATCAAATTGTCGGCCAAGTTCTTAAACATAACCTTGGGATTCCATGCTTCTCAGCACTTCTTATAGAAAGCCCAAGAGGAATAAATAATGGGCGGAACACGGGTCATAGCCAAGCCATGATCCGTTTCCTGGGTACAGCCACCGAGTGGAAAAACATCCGGCGGGCTTGAATTTGTCCCCCGTATCACGTGTCTCGCTTACCTTACTTCGTTGACAGTTGGGGAGGCTCGGGAGGATAACTTTTTTCTGAAAGTCAGCACTTATACTAGAAAGCAAATGTTGACTGCATTATGATCAAACTCATAAAAATGATACCAACCAACCTCAAATATGGTATGTGCAGCCTTATCCTGCCATATTTGAATCTTTTGTTCTCCACTTTTTCTGATTGCCGCTTGAATACTTGGTTCTTACGTTTCCGAACAGTACTTTGAATTGATCAAGCACAAAAAACATCACTAGTAGGTGTTCAATCCTGAGCATCTAAATTCGAAATTACAGTTCAGTGTTCTTCTCTTCCTTCTCTTCCGAACTCTGGAATCTCTGAAACATAGGAAAGCCTTACAAGTAGATGAAACGGGGTCTTTTTGTAATGACCAGGGGGTCGGCGGCTAGAATCCACTTGTCAGACCGATCCACCACGCTATCTTCCCTCAATCTTAATCGTGACTTCTTGTTATAGTAATTTGTATTTGTCATATGTTAGCATTCTCTTTTACGCACTTATTCATTGCAACGTGTTGGGTATACCTCACTGCACGGAAACACGCTCGTTTCGTGGAAACTAGTATGTCGACACAATCATCTGGTCTTATGGAGCCTCCTCTGTAATTGGAACCGATGTGTTAATAATATGAGTTGTGTAATTTTGGATTAAACGGTCAACGTCGAGGCTTGTTTGGAGAAGTGGGGCAGAACTGCGGAGCAAAATAACGCTGTGATGTCAAACCACAAGTCCATTGCTTTCACTTCAAGCAAAGCGGTAGACCATTCATGTATACCAACGGGGCTTTGAACTTGGTTGTCGTACGGGTAAGCGTGGGGAAATACCTGGAAATGCCTTTATCATAGTGCAGGTAATGTTGATGTGGAACCGTGTTCTTCACTTCGTCAAACGGGTGTGGCGTGCTTCCGTCGCAAATTTCTAAGCAAGGCTTCTGGGGTCGAAAGGCAGATTCTGTAGTCGGTTAGTGGTTTCCGTACATAGTGATTGACCTATGCGGAGGTTATGGAGAAGTTTCCATAGAGATAGAGCCTTGGAGGAAGATCTGGATCATGACTTAGACCCAGCAACGGTTGGAAGTGATGACAATTATCGACATACTTTGTATAAGTACACGTTGTGAGAAATTTGGAGTAAGAGATATCATTAGCAATCAGTCAAGTCTAGTGGTCGAGACAACTGTTGACGTACCAAGACCAAGACACACACACACACACATTATCCTTTCAAAACAAACCAGGTAATTCGGTCAGGCTTTGCGTTACAACTTGTGCCTTCCAGATCTCATCAATCCTTTCTCCAAAGCTTTCATTGGCAGACAGGCTGCAACAAATCGATTGTGGGTGGATTAACTATACATTATGACATCAGTTGGAAGGGAATCCTACGTCCAAAGAGACTGTAGCTTCCAAGAAAATCGCAATCAGTATATTCGAAATACAGATCGCCGGAGCTTGAGCAATAGCCCCGAATACAACTCAAGAACCTACACCTCACAAACGTACAGCCCACCTCAATATACATTATCAGAGTATACCTCGCCCACAAACACAGTCTTCAATGATGCTTTCTCTCACATCCACGATGAGGATCTCAATATATCAGAAGAAAGATGTCGAAATACTACAAGTAGTCAACACGATGCCATTGTCGCTCAAAATAGCATTACTACCTCCTCAGAGTACAATGACTATTTGTGGCAAGGTACCTCATACCCAAGTCTCAACTATAGCTCCGAATCAATATACAATTCACAAATCGACCCAAGTCTTTGGAATTGTACTATTATGAACACTGGACCAATTGCCCCACTTCCCATCGTTACAGGAGCACAAAGCATCCTCGACGAGCACCGTTTCAAGCAGTGCTGGGAGGTTCCATCACTAGAAGCAGCAAATTCTGTGCAAATCAATGAATACGCCGGAGTAGCCTTCCCATCATGCATGATCGGCCAAGCTAGTATGTCGAGAACAGTCAGCGTCAATTCATTCCGGTCAACCTCGTCAGATTTTAAAACAGAGCGGGAGCGAGCCTCTCCATTCTTCGACATGACTGAGTCTATGGCGATTAGGTCGCCATCCCCAGGCGAAGAATCTTATAGATCTGAGTCAACTTCTGGATCACCTCGACCAAGCACCGCAGAGAAATCAACTCGATCAAGGAAACGAAGGCTTCAAGAGAGAAATGATCCGAATCATGTAAGCCGTCGTGGAGATACCGGAAGGAGGAAGTTGGATCGATACTTTTGCACTCGGTGTAATGCTTTCCCCAAAGGCTGGAAGCTACCCGAGGACTTGCGAAAACACAATCAAGGACATCATACTGAAATTGGATTTTACTGCGCCTCTGGAGTGGATGAGAACTGTGCCTATTGGAGTTCTCAGGAGTCGAGATATATTGACCATCTGAAGGTAGAGCATGCTAGCTCTCGCATCTCACAGGAGATTATCCGGAAGTATAACACCATAAACGGTATTACGCTCGATGGTAGTTATATGTGCAGGATACCAGGTTGTGAAAAGGTTTATAAAAGGGCAGAGCGAGGTCGTCGAGACAAGCATGAAGAAAGGAAAGCCGCACACGTTTTCAAAGGGGGACTCGGAAGAGCGGATCCAGCCCATCTATTTCCAAACAGTTATGTGGAATGCAGGAATGATGAGACGAAAAGCCATGTTGATATGGGACAGTACGATTTTGCTCATTCTGGTCCAGCAAGGGAATCCAGGGGGTGTCGGCCAGAGTGACCGTCAATTTGAATAAAGTGATAGAAACATCTCCCCAGTTGAAAATAATGCAGGACCAGATTGTTTGTTTATAGGATACAGATTCTTTGTAATTTGGGAAATAAAAAAGTTTGACGACAAAAGTGACTGCTTTTGAGGTGATATCCTAGGTATTTCTTTGAGGAGCTTGAAACAATAAATAAATGTCAAAATTTGATTGCCTAAAATAGCCACCTGGTTCACTTGTTGGACCCTCTGGTCGAGGCGCCTGAACAACGCCCACGTAGACAGAAATGACGGTGTACCAGACCACCCAAATAAAGTCATACTTCGAAACCATTGATATTTTCAATGCCAAATTATAAAAACAAGGGTAGAGCCAAGAATTCAAAAAAAAAAAATCAAATTAGATTTTTAAAAATGTGAGACTTTCAAAAATATCCGTTAATTTTAATCTCAACTCGAAATATTGATTGTTAGATTTAATTTCGAATGAATGAAGATTGTCATTTTTGGAGGGCACGTCGGTTATCTAGACGGAGCCATATATTATCGTGCGCCTTGAGCTAAATCTAAGCACAACATTACTGTGTTGCCTGATGTTTTATTTTTTTCTAATACGACCGAAGAGTCAGCTGAGAAAGCGGTTGATAAATTCTCAAACTGCGGCCTCAAAATTCTAGATTGATAGGATGTTTGTTTTGTGCTATATGAACTATATAAATGAGGTACACTATCGAATACAAAACACTATCATCTCAATCTCAATCTCAATCTCAATCTCACCAACACAGATCTTGGCCATCAAAACTATTCTCATCAAGAGAAGCTATACTACATAATCGAACTTCGTTTTGGCAATATCGGCAAAATGACATCAGAATCGTCTCACGCCAACTCTAGGAAGACTGGTAGCAGCCAGGCTGACTCCAGAATAAGAGGATCTCACAAATCTAGTCGTGTTGAATCGATCACCGCAGGAAACGAGCGCAGAAGATCGATTGAAAGTCTTAGGGTAAATACTCGAGATCTCGATATCGGGGGTCGTAACTCACCACAACCAAAATTAAGTCCGGGAGATATTGTCGATCCTTCCGTGGATACTAAATTACTAGAACATGAAGTAAGTTGGGCGGCGATCGAGAGGTTCAAAAAAAATCAAGAACAAGACGTCGATGAATCAGGAAGCAAAAAAGAGCGGAGAAGGCGACATGAGTCTTCGAGAGACAATGAAGAAAGGCCTCCTCGTGTTCATATCCACAGGCGATGCTCAAGTCCCCCCGTAAACAAGAAAACTACCAGTAAAACTACGGTTTGCAAGTACCTATCCATTTCAAGAGAAAAGAAGGAAGAATACTACCCCATAGAAAGCCACTCGGTCAAACATGGTCACAGCAAGAAGCTTCCGAACTCAGACCAAAGATACAGAGATCACAGTAGACCCTCAAGCCGAAAAGAAAAAGATGAAAAGACGATAAATACAGAAAAATCCGCTCCAGCAGAAAATGATGTCTCGAGCCCAAAGACAAGTGTCTCTTCTAAGCCAAAAACTGCTACCAGCTCTAAACACAGCGCCTCGACCCACAAAAGCGCAAGCGTCAGTGACCACAAAGACAAAGTATCGCAAAAAAGCTCTCACCATTCCAGTAAATCGGCAAGTTCTCGAAAAGGACACGATGGAGTTGATAATGAGCCAAGTCCAGAGGAGCCTCAAGCCTTGAGTGAGGGTTCCGCCAGTGGGTCTGTACAAGGTAAACCCACTCGAAGCAATACTCTAGCTCTCGATCATCACAGTTTGAAGAGCAACTTGAACGTCTACAATCCTAACAGAGGTGGCAGAGGTACTAGCACCACTGCTCCTTCAGACAATGGATTAGCGGAGCGTACTCAAACAGGTTATGGGAGAGGCGGCCATGATGATCAGCCTTATTTATATGATACTGGAGAAGTAGATCATTATAAAGCTCCAAAATCAACAAGCTCCAAAGCTAGCCAAAGCACTAGCGTCGCTGCTCTTTCTATCCATGCTCCATCACAGCGTGCTCCATCACAGCGTGCTCCATCACAGCGTGCTCCATCACAGCGTGCTCCATCACAGCGTGCTCCATCAGAGCGTGCTCCATCACAGCGTGCTCCATCAAGTCGCGGGGAGGACGCCGATGATCAGCCTTATGTATGCGAGGATGAAGACAACCAATCCAAAGCTTCAGTATCGACAGGCCGCACAATTGGCAGTAGAAGATCCCATAGATCGTAGGGTATGCGAACACAACTTACACAACCGAGTCCGACCCACAGATTAGTCCTTCGGCGGTAGAGGAGGCTGAAAGGACACAATATATTATTGAACTTTGGTTATCTTGCATCCTATCAAGAGCATATTTTTTCATCAAGACAGATGGAGAAAATGGAGGTGTTAAGATTATCAAGAGGTGGTCAAACCCAGCCTGTTTCTTCGCCGAAGTGGAGTTTGGTACCAAAACATATAGGTTATGTTGTGCTTAGACTTGGGATATGTGGTAGTCAGAGCATCTAGATTGGATTGAGTAGATTAGAGGTAAAGACAAGAAAGTACGTAAAAGATGATTTTGGACGTTTTGGGTAGCAACTGAATTTTTCACCCGTTATTTTTTTGTGGTTCTTCTAACAGTGTTAAGTGAAGGGCTGGTCTTTCACCTGGCGATAGCATCTCGCTTTCGTGCAAATAATTCGTGCGGTCAATGGCTGACGATCCGCAATGGAATGGACAAAGATCAGTGTGAACATGTAATTTTGGAAGGGATTCATCATGTTGTGAACTGTGAGTTGACCAAATGATACCATATTGACCGGAGATTATAAAACGCGTGCATCGCTATGTAGCATCGAAAATTTCAGAATATTCGAACGACCACGTGAAGCGGACGGATTGCTACTCGAAACTGAGAGTCCGAATTTCGATTCGGTACACTTCTCCATGGAGATGATGATGGCAACCATAAATAGACACTTCCGATAAATGCACATATAAATATATCATGCCCGAGGGTCACTTGAACCCATAGGCGAGAGCGGAACATGAAGTCAATATCGAATTTAAGTATGTAAATGACAACCAGAGGCTGTAGAGGCGAACATATTAGTTATAAATACATAAGATTGGCAGCATAACGTAGAATGTCATAAGAACGTTCGTAGTGCTTCGCGATCGCAATTACATGCGGATTTTAGACATCTCCTTACGTTATATATAACTCTCATGTTGACAATACATTTCCGTGTTGTGTTTTATACACGCAATGAGCAACACAGTACAGCCTTTTACAGACTCATAGTACCTTGTGCTATATTGCCAAGTCTTCTCTATTCCACTCCTCCGCAAATAGTTGACGAAATGTATCGTTTTGCAACATCCTCCCCATTGTACCCCTCACTCATCCCTCTTTGCCAACTCAATCCGTCTTTGCCTATTCTCCCGCGCTGCTGTTCTCGTCGGTCCCCATCTAGCTTTCACGGCTTCCAACTTCTCTCTTTCCAACTCTCTTTTCTCTGCTGATGCTTCTGTAATCATGCCAATAAATATCGACGAACAATTGAACTTCTTAGCCAATTGTAATCTGGTCCATTTTTCCGGATGCTCCGACCTCAACCTCCTAATCTCTGCAACATCCTTTTCACTCAAATGATGCCTCTCATACTTCAGCTGCTTCGGATTGACTGGAGGTGGTAATCGATGTGAGAGAGCGTTGAGTCGTTCTTGGGTAATTGCTAGAAGCTTTCTTCTCTTGTCGTCTTTGGGAAGGAATTTTAGAGGGGTTTGGAAAACGGATGGAGAAGAGGATGGCGGATTGAAAATAATGTGATCTTGTGGCGCGCCATATGATGGGACAAAATTTGGATCTGGTTTGACATTTAAACGTTGCTTAGAACGTCTGTAAGAGGATTCATGTCGACGGGCCGTGGCGCTGAAAGACAATAGACATTGAGGTTTGACAAAGAAGAGGTTGGCGACGGGCCGACGTAATATTCTGAGATCCATTGTTGTACTGTTGTATGAGTGTCTTGATTAAGAAGTAAAATTCAATTAACTCATTAGGTATGGATTCCCTCATATTCATCTCAACCAACGAATTTGAAAATATTTGCTGACTCATCACCACCCACCTGCCATCCCTCACAACTTACAAGCCTTGCGAGTTGTTGCGACCAGGCTCTTTTAGCCAAATCATTTTCATTTCGAGGTTTCCAACTTTTTGATTGTCAGGCGACTTGATTTCATGAAATTAAGCAAAATGCTTAATTATTATGTTGGTGATGATGAATGATTGATCGACGATTTTCCCAATCTACAACATCAACCAGGAATATCCAAAATTGGGCATTAAAAGCATTGAATTCGAAATCCTTCCCCTCCTCTTGAAAGGCATATATAACACACCTCATTCACCACTGAAATCACCAAAAATCACCAGAAATCACTCCTCTTCTATGACCATTGCCGCGTCCTGGGCCACCCATTTTTGCGAAGAAAGAAAGGTAGGTGAAATCATCTTATGATTACATTTATTTTACATTTACATTTACATTTACGTTTACGTTTACGTTTACGTTTACGTTTATCATTGCAATCATAATTGTCTAGATTGTCATGCCTTTGAATGTGTCTATTGTTGGACTGTTATGATCTTATATACTCGTATAGGAATCCATATTATTTTCCTCAACATCCCAAACTTCAGATTTTGAATCTCGAATCTTCTTTGTTCTTATCATTTCAAGTTTTCTCTACTTTGGCAATTCTGATTTTCATTGTCCGGAACCAAGCTGATAATTCCCAAAGATAAACTGCTCGCGTAAGTCTGCGACCCTCCAAAGTATTGGTTTGATTAAGGCGCATACGCCAACATCCCATCTGATGCGATTGAGTTTTCACAGCGCATATTCATTCACCTATTCGTTCATTGTTCATCTAACGCTTCGCAAATAGTATACGAGAGATTCGACTCGACTTACTTCCTCGATATCCTCAAAACAAACAAATCCGAAATCTTTCTATCAATCGTCATCATGAGCGCATCGGAATCTAGTACTTTACATGCGAACACGCCCGTCCCCACAGGCCAACAATCTATAACCACGTCAAAGGCCCCTCTACTAGGTGAGGGATTCAAAGTACCAACGAACCAAAAATCATCAAAACCCAGCGAAAACAGTGAGGTCGATGTGGATGCGAGTGATTCTGCGAGCGGAACCGCAAAGTCGGGAAAGCGAAGATTGTTTGGATTTGGAAAAAAGAAGACTGATGAAAAGGTAAAGAGCAAAAAGAAGGATGATGGAACGCATGCTGGCAATGCACCATTGACCCGCCCTCTCCAGCAGACGCAGATGACGAACTCCCCTCCACGATCAAGCTATCCATACCAACACCCCTCATCACCACCGAGTCGAAAATTGTTCTCATCTTCCCCACATGTGGTGTCACCTGCAGGTTCGCAAATCTTCGAGCGTGATGTGCAAGAAAGTGCTATTCAGCCGAATTCTCCCGCGATTCCGTCGCATATACGGACAGAGGATTATATTCCACCAGTTCTAGATGCATCGTCGCAAGCTATTACCAACAATGACATTGATCCGGATACGGTGGAAATTGTCATGCACTCTTCTCATCAGCCGGCAGTAATGTCAATGAGTGGTATCAGTAGTAGCGAACCTGGCGCATCAATGTGGACAGACGAATTGGTGGCCCACCCCGACAAGGACGATGCGGCATCCAACTACGGTGCTCTTGATAGTACAGACATTCGGAGATTGAGCTTCATCTCATTTGCAGATGTAGTGCAATCAGAGCACGCAGAACATGCTGGCAATAGAGACTCAATATATATTGCGGGACTCAGTGCGTTGTCATCACCAGGTATATCACCAGGTGTGAACCGTTCACCTTCGCCTGTGCGATCACCAGTATCGTCATTTGGATTCGGAACATCACCCCCGACTAGTAAGTCAGCTTCCGTGAAAGGTGTCGAGCTTTCGCCAGTTCGAAAACAAACTGGTCTCGCCAGTCCGACATCACTTCACTCTCCTACAAGTGGCGGCGAATTGACCATAGAGACAATGTCACAGGCTGTGAAGAAGACTGGGAGCGGCGATCTTAGTGGCAGCCTTCGCAGTTTACCCTTAAGCCCAGTAAGCTTTGATGGCCCGGATACGCCATTCAGATAAGCCAGTCATTGGGCCCAAGGTTGGACAAATGTGTGTGATGGATGGTGTTTACTATTCCGTTACTGCTTGCTGTACATCCAGCGAGTTTTATAGGGTTGGAACAATTGCAGTTTGGGACAAGGGGAAGGGGTATGGATTGCTGTGTATATGAGATACTCGATTGAGCGAACAGTAACTGGCGTTCCGGATTAGGATTTACCTTACTCTTTATTTTTATTTTTTGTTCAACCTTGGGATGGGTAGTTTTTTATGACAAGACATGAAGCAATTTAAATTCTTAGCCGCACTTATTAAGATGATTGATGACATGATGTGCCGTTATATGTGTTCGTGTGTTTCATTTCATGTGTTAAACTAAGGTTTCTCACTCAGGGAGAAGGGGGTCGAGGTAATACCTTTTTGTGATCTGAGTCGTTCAATTAATTGAGATATTACCACAGATATTGTAAAGGATGGATTATATTGTATGAATACGTAAGTGTTACTGATATATTATCCACACCAGATACTATTTCATCTGTCTAATGTTTCAAATTGAAAGAGCAGCGAGGTTTGGATTAATTAATATGTTAGGGAAAAAGTATAGAGTCAGAGAAGGTTTATAGATGAAAATGATGTGGATGCAGATGATTTATGACATCTTGCTTTCCCCCTCCCCCCATTTACCGGAGAATACCCAATTTTCATCATGATTTTTGGATACTTTGTAGGGTTCTTTTCCTTTTCACTACAAACAAAGCATGGATATCTTGATCGATATCTACTGCCTACCTATATAGTAGGGATAGCTGGCAACTTTGATATGCTCACAGAAAAGGGTGGATGTATTGTGGGAAGTTGTACTGGGTAGAGTTGTTGTGCTCTTAAAATGTGATTTGGAATCACTATGTATATGATTTATATGATATGATTAGAAATGTGATGGGAATTTATTGAGGGGCAGGGTAATAGTTAAATGCTGGCTGTGATTCTTTTGTCAACTACGTAACTTATACTACCTAGGTAGGCGTTAATCAATATTTAGCTACAGGTCAGTCTTTCATACCTGGTTCGATGTATCGACGTATGAGAATGTCTTGGGAGAGTCGGATGATTAAATAGATATAAAGCTTTATATCTCTGATCCCTACTTATTTAAGTAGACAGCATCTGGTATCTCCTCCAATACTAAGGTATTAATTAAGATTTCATGTAGTATGTACCATGACCTTCATCATTAGCCGCGATAACACCAACCCGTTTGAAATCTTGGAGATATCTACGATTTGATTGGTACCCAATGATCACAAGTACCTTGTTTTACCTTGTTTCCAGAACTTCTCCAAATATACTTTTTATCATCACTCCTTCCCTCACTACCGGATATTGAGCAAGGGTTTTGCATTTTCTAGATTGTGCTCCGATGCAACCGAACAAAGCACAACTCACTCATACAGTCATACAGTCATACTTATCCAAAAGCTTCATCACAACATCATCAAAAGCTCATAGCTTCGATACGTACGGATAGACTTCGTATATGTCCCCGACTCGTAGTACTTTACAATCAGAACACAACACGTACCTGTTTATCATCACTTTCCCCCCAATTCTTTAACCGTTACTCTTGTCCTTTCCATTCACTCGTAGCCCAATGTCTACTTCCTCCCCTGAATTCTCCATAGATATTACCTACCCAGTCAATTGGCTCCCAACCTGAATCTCTATATATAAGGCGACAGGCAATTGCATTTCTCTTCTCCTCCACTTAAGGCGTCGGGCCTTATTTATTCCCTTTTTCTTACTACGTTGAGCCTGGTCTCTGATGTGAATATTCCACCCTCCCCCTCCCCCCAGCAGCCCAGCTCTACTAGTAAACTATCAACCCTTGAAAGCTCCGGCCTCTATACTCCAAAGGGAAAAAATCGACCCGCTAAAGTAGATTCGACGGAATCTTGGTTAAACTTGTTATATATGGTATATGGCTAGTGATGATGAAAGAACTCTCAAATCTCGCAATCGGTATTGGGAAACCATAAGGCATATTTGGAGTGGTCTCAATTCTATTGATAAAAGAAAAAGAAAAAGCTTTGTCATTCTATCAAAAGATCTACGCTATTTGCGCGGTACAAAGACTGGCAGAAGCTTCACAATCAATTGCGCACATCTTAGACTTCCCCACGTACGCCACAGCTTGTATCGAAGATCTTCAATCCAAATTGTTCAGTACGAACCCATGCCATCTTCGACAACTCTGCTTGCATGCTTCCGCACATATCAAGACTCGACTACGCGAGCTCGTCAAATTCTCTAGCATCACCGGGGCCGCCATCTTTTTGAGGTTTGGATGGTTAGGCATGGTTTTCTAAACTTCCAGAGGAAGGAATCGCGGGATGAGCCTATTGTCACCAGGTATGGATACCAGAGATTATAATGGGACGTCTGGAAGGGAAAACACTGTGCGGGACTGGGGAGAAAATGCGGCAGAGACATTGGCACGAAGATTCTCTCCGAGTGAGCCACGACGATCGCGGGGTCCTGGCTTGGAGACAACTATTCGCACAGTTACACCCGAACCTATTGAGGTAACAGACGACAATTTATGCATACTAGAGACTCCACCTAGGCTCTTTCCATCTGTACAAACATCGCCGCGATCGATCCCTGGCGGAGAAAAGCCTAGAGAACGCCGCCAAGGCCTTGTTTTCCATGATTCATATAGCAGTGACTCTATTGACAAGCCTCCTCAGAGTAACATGAGTCTTCGATCTCGACCTCGAACATATACCGTAGATGCTACCACACGAAAAAGATCTGGATCGAGAGGGGCTCCTAAAAATAGACAACGAATTGGCTCAATACATTCCACAAACTCATCATCTTTCCATGATATCGAGCCACGACCCGATAATAATACTGCTATCGGATATCCATCTACTAACAGAAACACATTGACTAAATCCAACTCTCTTGAGAAGGAAAAGGGGTCAGGTAGACGATTGGTCAAAAAGCATTCCCGGCCGACTTCGCCATTTCAGGCATTTGTAGATATACCTGCCATCGATTCTCTTCCAGATCCTGTGCCTACTGGGAACACTAAGAAAATATTGGGTCTTATGAAAAGTTTACGCGGTCGTATGAGGGGTGAAGTCGAGTATCAGACAGTGGAACGCGGGCAATGGTATCGAGGTGTGTGCTATATTGACAACGTGAAAGGCTCTTTAATGTATGAGGACGACGATAAAGGACGTTTTCACATTGCTGTAGCAACCGACCTACGAGGATGTAGGGTCAAACCGATCAGATACTCATTGGAACGTCAAGTCAGGTGTCTGGAGATAATAAATCCAAGTCTCGGCTTGGACCTTCGTCTTTTACCGACGGATCCTGCTGAATTTGATCCCTGGTTAGCAGCGATACTGCCATGGCAACAGATCAGGTTAGCTTCGTCTTTGACAAGTCCGCTGAAATCCCCAACAGGGCATCACGACGACAGACGCCCAACAGCAGTGGATCGACGAGGTTCCGCGTATAGTAATAAAGACTCAAATATTATCAAAGTAGCCAAGCTCCTTTTGTGGGACAAAGGGCCGCCCCTATCCCCTGAGTCCATTATCACTCGTCGTTCGACACGACATCTGCGTAACTCTGGACAACAGTGGCGTCGAATATCCTGTATACTGCAAGATAATGGCGATCTTAAGATTCTGACCGAAAATGATGCTTTATTACTTTCAGTCGTTCAGCTCCCACAACTTTCCAGAAGCGCAATACAAAAGCTTGACAAGTCAGTACTAGGAGAAGAATATTGCATTGCCATATTTCCACAGTACACTTCTACATCCACAGACTTGTCTATATTTAGACCTATCTACCTAGCATTAGAATCACGATTGGTATTCGAAGTGTGGTTGTGTCTCTTGAGGGCTTTCACAATTCCAGAAATCTATGGTCATGATACCCCACAGCAAATAGAAGCTCATGATGAAGGTGAAGAATTGCCTGAGGGATATCCTTCTGCAACTAACGATATGTTTCGAATTGAGAAGTCTCTCAACATGCGAATCATTGAAGCTAAATTTCGGAAATCTGGCATAAGGGCAGAGTTACCCCAGTATGGCAGGCATTCGGTAAGGCCAGAGCCAGATGGAATTCTCGGTGACTACTTTGCAGAGGTTATGCTTGATGGTGAGGTTCGCGCCCGTACAATAACAAAGCTGGAGACTAGGAATCCATTCTGGAGAGAAGAGTGCGAATTCACGGATCTGCCTCCTTATTTACCAAAATTATCGATAGTTTTGAAACGTATGGAAATGTCACAGTTAACCGTGCAAGGATTCTTGTCAAGTTCAAGCGTTCAAGTGGCGGACCAGCAAGTAGAAACTATCTGTGGAGTAGTTGAAATATCTGTTGACAAGCTCGAGCGAGGCAAGGATAATGAGGCATGGTGGCCAATTTTGGATCAAAATCAAGAGCAGGTTGGGGAGATGTTAATGAAACTTCGACATGATGAAGTTGTTGTACTTCTTGCCAAAGATTATCAACCAATCTCTGAACTTCTACATAATTTCAACAATGGGCTGACACTCCAAATATCTCAAGTCATACCCAATAATCTCAGACAGTTATCTGAAACACTGCTAAATATATTCCAAGTATCTGGAAACGGGTCAGAATGGCTAAAAGCCCTGGTTGAAGACGAAATTGATGGCATTGGAAAAGAAGCACCAACAAAACGACTTAGATACAGCAGGAGGATTGGCTCAAATGAGGTTTCCTTCACGTCCATTGAACGGGAACAATCAGTTCGAGATATGGGGAAAAGTCTCAATACTGAAGCGAATCTTTTGTTCCGAGGAAATTCCTTACTAACGCAAGCTCTTGATTTTCATATGAGACGAGTCGGGAAGGAATATCTCTCTGAAATCTTGGGAGATCAGATTCGTACCATCAACAACATTAACCCTGATTGCGAAGTCGACCCATCTAGAATTGATAACGACGGTGCATTCGAGAAGAATTGGATCTCGTTGATTGCTTTAACTACTGACGTCTGGAGATCAATAGCAGATTCTGCAACTCGATGTCCACCAGAATTGCGACAAATCTTCAAGTACATCCGTGCGGTTGCTGAGGATAGATACGGAGATTTTCTTCGTACTGTCGCATATACTAGTGTCTCTGGATTCATATTTTTAAGATTTTTCTGTCCAGCAATTCTCAACCCAAAATTGTTTGGACTACTCCCCGATCATCCCCAACCAAAAGCTCAACGAACATTCACTTTGATAGCAAAAAGTTTACAAGCCTTGGCAAACTTATCAAGCTTTGGTCAAAAAGAGTCATGGATGGAACCGATGAACAAATTTCTTTATCAGCATCGTCAAGGTGTGAAGGATTTTCTCGATTCTATTTGTGCTATAGCCCCGGATCGTACAACATTTGCAGTTCCGGCGTCTTATTCGACGCCCATCACCATTCTCGCAAGACTACCTCCCACTTCTCGAGAAGGATTTCCTTCTTTACCGTATTTGATTGATCATGCACGAAGTTTTGCTGATTTGGTCAAATTATGGCTAGAAGGAACCTCGCATTCCATGACTCAATACTTCGAAGGCGATCTTGCTGTATTCAACGAGTTGTGTATAACTCTCAAGAAACGCACCGATGAATGTATACTTAAAGCCGAAGAGTACGGTGATCGCGTCGCCGATCAGATTTCTCTTCAATTCGAAGATATAGTCGAAGGTCTTCAAAGTACACATTTCCACGAATCCCCTCAAATTCTACCACTCCCCCCAACACAATCACATTCCCAACCGGAATCAGAACACCAGCATCCTATCCTCCCACCTCCTTGGCAGGACTACTCAATGAGTAATAGCAATGCCACAAGTATAAATAATACAAGCCAAACACATCTTCGCGCACCTGGTTCCGCGGGTAGTGGAAGTGAAAAAATAGGTACGATCTCTATCTTAAGTAATAAAGATAAAGAAAAGAAAGAGAAACAAAATTTCTGGGAGGCAACTTTTGGAAAGGACTCAAAATATCAGAGACCTTATGCACCACCATTAGATCATAATGCACAACAATTGGGTATGCAAGCCTCTAGTCCGCCTGGGGGAAAGGCATCAGGGGGTCTTGGACTTAATAGACAGGAGAAACAAAGTAGGAGTTTTCTAGGTGGATTGAGGAGAAAGGGAAAACAGGAACCGAAGAGTCAGGGGAGTGGAAGTAGTAATGATGGGGGTTTCATAATGGCACCTGCACCTGCAACAGGGATGGGAATGGGTATCCCAGAGGGAATGAGTATTGATACTGGGAATGGAAGAGGCGCCAGGGGAGAAGGCTTCAGAGAGGAAATTGTGTCGCCGACGATGGCCAGTTGGGGACATATACAGAGAGAAGGGAGGGGTGATGGGGGTATGTTTTAGTATGGGAGAGGAGAGGAGAGTTAGTAACGAGAGGGAGAAAGATAAGAAGAGTGAGGAATGCGTGGAGATGAATGATGGAGAGCGCTTTTGTCTTGTGAAACTCTTTATTAAGTCCTCGAGCATCTATATTTATACCGATATGTATATATATATATTACTTTTGCTGTCAATATTCTTATCTTTTGTTAAATTATATACTTATTATGTATTTATGAATTATACGTTCATGTTTATGATGTGCTTTCTACGTCTGTCTGTCTTTACTCTATGTATGAATGTGTTTCGATTTGCACATCGATCAATTCCTCACATCTTGACAGTATTCTTCATAGGTAGGTATCCTCAAAAATATCTGGCTTTTTTTTTTTCAATCGTCGAAAATCTCGATAGGCTCTTTAGGTTTTGTATCGTATCTGATTGTTATATTTGAAGAATTCGGTAGGTGTGAGGTGCTTCTCTCGTTGTTTCTGGAGCGTCGTCAGGGTTGTATTTAGTAAGTGAGTAAGTGTACTCTGGAGTTGGAGTTGATGGATATTTCATGAGAGGGAGGGGGATTTCTTTTTTTTTCTTTTTTCTTTTTTCTTTTTTCTTTTTTCTTTTTTTCCGTTGGGGGAGGGAGGGGGGAGGGGAATGGGTTTGGGGTTTGGGTTTGGGGTTTGGATGCTGGATGCTGGGTGCTGGGTTTGGGTGCTGGGTGCTGAATTTTGGTTTGGGGATTTTGGTTTGGTTCCCAGATTTAGGGTATTAGGTTTTTGAATGGGGCTTGGGGTGTGGTGTGTGTTGGTTCGAGAAGGATACGGAAGACGTAGCACCCACGGTATTCGTAGGTCCTAAATGTCTATATTGTATTCTATCTAAAGAGCTAGCTAAGTACAGGAAGTTGTAGGTCTTATATAGACGCTACAAGAGGAGCTAGTCTCTTCTGCTCTCGCTTGAGGCTACTGTATCCCGCATTCGCTGAAGACTGCAATACAGTAGCTAATGAATTGAAGCTATTCACTAGATCCTAATGAAGAGTGTTCATACAGTGTGGTAGGGGAGAAGAGAGATAGAGGAGAGAGGAGAGAGGAGAGAGGAGAGAGGAAGAGTGTGAGGGCAGGGGAAAAGGTGGGTGAAGGAACATGGATGGATGGATGGATGGATGGATGGATGGATGGATAGATGAATGGATGAATAGATAGATATTTGAATAGATAGATAAATTGTTAATAGATATATATATTTCGAAGTACAATAATCCGATTAATTTTCTCTGGGTCATCTCGATTGAATATTCTCGGTTAGAGCTAGGAGGGTAAGGGAGAACAGGAGAAAAAGAGGAAAAAGGAGAGAAAAAGAGACTCGGTAAGAAATTATTTGTGTAAAGAGTTTTATATATATATATAGACTATGTGATTTTTATTATGTATTCTGTATTTTGTATCTTGTATTTCTTGCTTTTTTTTTGTAGGAAATAATAGGTTGTTACGACCGAGGTCGTCACATGACTAGATTGATTAAAATATCACCTGACCAAGGTGTCCCACTGAGTCCCACTGAGTAAGGCCCAGTGGGACACAGTGGGAAGCAGTGGGACAACAGAGAACGAAGGTCTATATAAGGGAATGGGATTTCATTACAATATAGAGCTTCGTGCTCAAGAACAATCATTAGTTTCATTACTATAGTTACGAGAATTGCAACCAGTTACAACCTTATTGAATTCCTACTTGAAGTCTAGTCTAAACCACCTCGAGAGATCTCTAGACACTTCCACGTGACCCTAGAGGCAGCTCCCGTAACACTTTGAGCACCATTTCTGCTTCAAGTACCAATTCAATACCAACCGACGATATGACACCCATCAGTGCATCCGCGAGCAGTCAGGCACAAGCACCCGACACCAACGATGTCGAGATGACCGACGCTCCCAAGGAAATTACCATCAACGAAACACTCAAGATTGCCTTACCAGACAAATACCAAGGAAGTCGACAGGAACTCGACACCTTCCTCTTACAACTTGAAATCTATTTTAGATTCAACCAAGACAAGTTCACCGAAAAGGAATCTAAGAGTATTTGGGCCGTGTCATACCTCAGAGGTGAGGCAGGCAAATGGATTCAGCCATACTTGCGCGACTATTTCGAGCATGACGATCAGGATCGCATGCAACCCACTCGAACAATCTTCAACAGTTTTGAAGGATTTAAGACAGAGATACGTAGAATCTTCGGGAACTCTAATGAGCTAGAGGTAGCGGAAGATAAGATCTTCAACCTCAAGCAGACAGGATCAGCATTGAAGTATGCTACGGAATTCCGAAGATATGCGGGAACAACCAAGTGGGACGAAACCGCCATCATGAGTCACTATCGTAAAGGACTCAAGCCAGAAGTCAGACTGGAGTTAGAAAGATCTGCCGAGAGTGTAGACTTGAACGACCTAATCCAGGACTCCATCGAGTCAGATGATCGTCTTTACCGATATCGACAAAGTCAAAGATCATACAAACCCCAGGGAAATCAAAAGCAAGGGCGTTACCGCAAGAATGAGGGTAGACCACGTTACAATCCACAGGGATATGGCGACCCTATGGAACTCGACGCTACGCACCACAAGAGCGGGAATGATGATCCGGAAAAGAAACGAAGACGAGAAAATAACTTATGCTTTGAATGTGGAAAAGCAGGGCACCGAGCAGCAGAATGCCGAAGCAAGAGAACAGGGGGCAAGAAGGGTAACTTTAAGAATAAGTTCGGCAAGGGCCAACTTAATGCCACCTTCACGCCACAATTGTGTGCTGTTAGCATGACAGGGCTAGCCACGCCACCACCAGCTTACGAAGAAGAGCTCGAAGAAGAAGAAGAGGTCGAAGGCCTCTCATGGGTAAACAAAGACCCGCAGTTAGGAGAATCATGGTCTATTCGGGAAATTGACCAATGGAACCGTCGTATCTGGAAATTTGGAGATACAGACGAAGGGACTATGAACGAAGACCTCAGCGTAACAGACGCTGAAGAAGGCGAATCGTATGAGGTTCGGTACGTCGATCAGCATCGAATTCTATGGTTTGGAATCACTACAAACACATCATTCGTAGAAAGAATTAGTACCGATCACCTCCAGTGGCCAGACAGGGGAGAGCTATGGGAAGTGTTCTATCACCACACATCTGAAAGAAATGAGAATCAGGTTCTATTTTTATGCAGAAGAGTAGGAGAAGAACACCGGGTCCAGGCTCAGGCCATAATACCACCACCAGTTGTGGGTACGATAATGAAAGTCACTCAAGGGAACTACCGATACACCCTATGGAGGGACTTACTTGATGACAGAGCTAGATCAGGAACAAGCGCTGTCTATCTAGAAGAGGAAGAGCCTCGACGTGTAACATTTGCCGATGAGATCATCCAGAATAGCGAGAATGAGCAAATTACACCACAGCTAAATGCTACAGGACAAGCAGGTCAAATATACTGCAAGGTCAAAATAAACGGACAAATACAGCAAGCCATGATAGATTCAGGGGCTACAGGAAATTTTATTGCACCAGAAGCTGCAAAGTATTTGGGAGTCCCACTCCAGAAGAAACAAAACCCCTACCAATTGCAGTTAGTTGACGGACAGCTAGCAGGATCTGACGGGAACGTTTCACAGGAGACACGACCAGTACGAATGAATATGACCCAACATTCGGAGGTTATACAGCTTGACGTTGTGCCATTGGGCCAACAACAGATCATCTTAGGAATGCCATGGTTGAAGGCACATAATCCCAGAATAGATTGGTCACAAGGAACAGTGACATTTGATCAGTGCAAGGACGGTCATGACGACACGTTCAAGGCGTCCGCGAGACGTAACACGCGCCAAGGAGAGTTGAACGCGAACAACACCGGCGACGTAGGACACCCAGTCCAGGGTCCTCCATTAAGAGCGAAGGCCAGTACACCTCCTCTACAAATGCAGAAGCCGACGGTACGGCAGGAAATCGCAATCGAGGCAAAAAAGAAGCCTACGATACCAGAACAGTACAGAAAATATGAACAGGTTTTTAAGGAACCAGGGATCCACGAGGCTTTACCGGAACACAAGCCGTGGGATCATGAGATAATATTGGAGGAAGGCAAGATGCCTGTGCACACCCCAATTTATTCAATGTCAGCCGATGAGCTAAAGACGCTCAAAGAATATATCGACGACAACTTGGCCAAGGGATGGATCAGAGAATCCACATCCCAAGTGGCAAGTCCAACTATGTGGGTACCCAAGAAGGATGGTACTAAGAGACTAGTTGTGGACTACAGAAAGCTCAACACGCTTACAAAGAAAGATCGATATCCACTTCCATTAGCTACGGAATTAAGAGATCGATTAGGCGGAGCAACAATATTTACCAAGATGGACCTACGAAACGGGTACCACTTGATTAGAATGAAGAAAGGCGAGGAATGGAAAACCGCTTTCAAGACAAGATATGGGCTATACGAGTATCAGGTTATGCCATTCGGGCTAACCAACGCGCCAGCTACTTTCATGAGGTTAATGAATAATGTGCTATCACAATATTTGGATACTTGCTGTATATGCTACTTGGACGACATCCTAGTATATTCAGACAGCGGAGTTCAACACATTAAGGACGTCAACAATGTCCTTGAAAGTTTAGCTAAGGCTGATTTGCTGTGCAAGCCAAGCAAATGCGAATTCCACGTTACAGAAACAGAGTTTTTGGGATTCACCGTATCGAACCAAGGGCTCAAGATGAGCAAGGACAAGGTTAAGGCAGTGCTCGAATGGAAGCAGCCTACCACAGTTAAGGAAGTACAATCTTTTTTAGGATTCGTCAACTTCTATCGAAGATTTATTAAAGGTTATTCAGGGATCACAACACCCTTAACCAATTTAACCAGAAAAGAGCAAGGGAGCTTCGAATGGACCGCCAAGGCGCAGGAGTCATTCGAGACGCTCAAACAAGCAGTGGCCGAGGAGCCAATACTGTTAACATTCGATCCTGAGAAGCCAATCATAGTGGAAACGGATTCCTCAGATTTCGCTATAGGCGCAGTGTTGAGCCAACCAGGTCAAAATGAGAAATAGCAACCAATCGCATTCTACTCTCGAAAACTATCACCAGCCGAGTTGAACTACGAGATATACGACAAGGAGTTACTGGCGATAGTCGATGCATTTAGAGAATGGCGAGTTTATTTAGAAGGATCAAAATACACAGTACAGGTGTATACAGATCACAAGAACTTGGTTTACTTCACCACAACGAAGCAGTTAAACAGACGACAGGTCAGATGGTCGGAGACCATGGCCAATTACAATTTCAAGATTTCATATGTTAAAGGATCAGAAAACGCTAGAGCCGACGCTCTCAGCCGAAAACCAGAATACCAAGAGAATAAGTCGTACGAATCATACGCAATATTCAAGAAAGAAGGCGAATCACTGGTTTACAATGCACCACAGCTTGCAGCTACTCATATATTGGAAGACAACCATCTCAGAAACCAAATCCAATCACATTACGACAAGGATGCTACAGCTACACGCATACGCAAAGCAATAGAACCAGGATTCACAATAGAAAACGAAACCATATACTTTCATGGGAAAGTATACATTCCGAGTCAAATGACTAAGGAATTTGTGACGGAACAACATGGGTTGCCGGCACACGGACATCAAGGAATTGCAAGGACATTTGCAAGAATCCGGGAAATCAGTTACTTCCCACGAATGAGAACGATAGTTGAAGAAGTTGTTAGAAGTTGCGACACCTGCATACGAAACAAGTCATCACGACATGCTCCGTATGGTCAGCTCCAGACCCCAGACATGCCTTCTCAGCCATGGAAGTCCATTACATGGGACTTTGTGGTTAAACTACCACTCTCGAAAGACCCTACTACAGGAATTGAGTACGACGCAATACTCAATGTAGTAGACAGATTGACAAAATTTGCATACATGATACCATTCAAAGAAACATGGACTGCTGAGCAACTAGCATATGTATTCTTTAGGGTCATAGTAAGCATACATGGAGTACCAGATGAGATAATCTCGGACAGAGACAAGCTCTTTACCTCGAAATTCTGGACTACCTTATTAGCACTAATGGGTGTTAAAAGAAAGCTATCAACAGCCTTTCACCCACAAACCGATGGTCAGACAGAGAGGACCAATCAGACAATGGAAGCATATCTTAGATGCTACATAAATTATCGACAGGACAATTGGGTAGAGCTATTACCTATGGCACAATTCGCATATAACACATCGGAAACGGAAACCACAAAGATTACACCAGCACGCGCTAACTTTGGGTTTAATCCTAAAGCATACCAAACACCGATACCACAGGAGGTTAATGCCGAATCAGCAATAATACAAGTCGAACAGTTAAAGGATTTACAAGAGCAGCTTGCTCTCGATCTAAGATTCATATCATCCAGAACAGCAGCGTACTACAATACGAAACGTAGTATGGAACCTACGCTTAAAGAGGGGGATAAAGTTTATCTGCTACGACGAAACATCGAAACTAAGAGACCAAGCAATAAACTAGACCACAGGAAACTAGGACCATTCAAGATTGATAAGGTAATAGGAACAGTTAATTATCGATTGAAATTACCAGACACAATGAATATCCACCCAGTATTCCACATATCCTTGCTCGAACCAGCACCACCAGGAGCGCCAAACGCGCCATTTACAGAAATTGAACCAGTCAATCCAAACGCCATATACGATGTCGAAACAATACTAGACTGCAAATACGTCAGAGGCATAGTCAAATACTTGATCAAATGGTTAGATTATCCACATACCGAAAACTCATGGGAACCGAAAGAAAACCTCAACTGCCCTGAGAAGTTGGAGGCATTCCATCAACAATACCCGGATCTGCCCAGAAAGAAGGAGAATCCATTGAAGCAAGGATCGAAGGATCCAAAGAAGAACCAAAATCGAAAGAATCGTCACCAGCAACAACGGAGGAACTAGAAGCTTGTTCCTTCTCCTTTTCTAGACGTTCATTTTCCAATCGTTGTTCCTCGGCTTCAAATTCCTCAAGGGCCTCGATGGTATGCAAGTCATGTTGCAACATCTTACCCGCCTTTTCACGAAGAATCTTTTGTTGCCTACGAATTCTCATTCGACGAGCAAAAGCTTCTTGCTCCAGTTTTGCAGCAGCTTCTTCCTCCGCTTCAAGGCGAGCTTCTTCACGCTCCACGCGAGCCCAGTTACCAGCAGAATGACCATAAACGTTACAGTCACCACTTCCTACGCTTTTGGCGCATTCACCACAACGAGAACTATTAGGAAGAACCCTACATTCCAGATTTTTATCAACACAACGACTACACCTAAACGGCATAATGATTCCTTTTTCTTTGGAACGAAAATAAATGTTTTTTCGACTGCTAGCAGATTTTTCAGAACGAATGGCTGGCATAATGAGAAAGCAAAAGCATTAGAGAGAGCGAACTCCTGAGTGGGGAAGCTTACTTTATGAACGCTTGGGGCAAGCGCTAGGATAAGAAGGGGATAGTGTTACGACCGAGGTCGTCACATGACTAGATTGATTAAAATATCACCTGACCAAGGTGTCCCACTGAGTCCCACTGAGTAAGGCCCAGTGGGACACAGTGGGAAGCAGTGGGACAACAGAGAACGAAGGTCTATATAAGGGAATGGGATTTCATTACAATATAGAGCTTCGTGCTCAAGAACAATCATTAGTTTCATTACTATAGTTACGAGAATTGCAACCAGTTACAACCTTATTGAATTCCTACTTGAAGTCTAGTCTAAACCACCTCGAGAGATCTCTAGACACTTCCACGTGACCCTAGAGGCAGCTCCCGTAACATAGGTATATAGATATCTTGATATTTTCTTTAAAAGAGTATTAGGAGTGTTTTTCTAGGGATTAAAGGGATTGAAGGGATTGAATTAACTATTCAATTAATATCTATAAAAAGAATTATAAAAAAAGATATAAAAAAAGGAAACGAATGTTCTGAAATCAGAATCAGAAAGAGATATTACTCACTACTTTATTACTCCACTATATTACTATATTATAACTCTATAATTTATTTATTCATTCATTCATTCATCTCATTAGCTAATTAGGAAGATTCATTCACTAATGAGTACACAGACTCATAAGACATTTAAGAGGAAAAGTATAATTTCATACTAAAAAGAGCTATTTTGAAAATTTGATTGAAATTTAAAATTTATATTAATCTCTTTGAAAATCATAAATATGTCTCAAATATACAGATTCTATATTTTTTTAAAATTGAATTAAAAAATTAATATTAGTATTTTTTTGTAAAAAAATATATAATTTTCTATCTATTAAAAATTTTGATAAAAAAGTATACTATTTGTTTTTTGAATTTAGATCTCTTTCTTTTAGAATTAATCTTGAAAAAAATCATTTTTTAATATATTAAAAATACAAATTATTATTTCGATTAATATTAAATTATATTTCAAATTATAATTGAATTTTGAAGTTAATAAATTTGAGTGTGAAATTGTGCTTTTATGTTATATTGTCCTGTGAGTCTGTGCACTCATTAGTGATCATTATTCGATATTTTATTTTTCGTCCCCGATCTCATGTCCCGTTCAGAATACCAGAAAATTAAGATACAGTGTTGTTATTGCTGTTGTTATTATTATTGTTGAGATATAGTAGTATGTTATTACATCGTCATACTGTATGTAATCTGTTTGTATATCATGACATGATATAATATAATATGTCATGATATGATATGTTTTTGTCAGTCTCCTGTCCCTGTCCCAATCTAAATCCCAAGATCAATTCAAATATCAATTCAAATATCAATTCAAATATTAATCTAAATATCAACTCCAACTCCAATTCCAATTCCAATTCCAATTCCAACTCCAATCAAACCACCATCACCATCACCATCATCATTCTCTTTCTGTAACTCCTACTCTGCGCGCTGTTTGGAAAGTATAATGACTTTGTTTTTTCCGGAGGTTTGAAGGTTTTGGTGGTTTGGAGAAGAGAGTTTGATAGATTTCTTAGTTTCGGAGTGGAAATGGGAATAACTAGTAGAGGAAAAAGGAAAAGGTGAAAAGGAGAAAGGAAAGAGGAAAGAGAAAAGTTAGAAGAGAGACGAGGTTTGAGAAGTGAGAAGTGAGAAAGAAGAAGGAGGTAAGATTTACGAAAAGGGATAAGAATGAAAATGAGTAGAAAAAGGAGAAAGTCAAGAATATAAAGACCAAGAGAGAGAAAAGAGAAGCAATGTCGTTTCCCTACCAAAAATTGACGCCACAATTCGAATAAGTTTTCTTTTCCTATGCTCTTTTTGAAAACAAGGACGTTCAAAAAGAGGTTCTAGATATGAATGAATGTATCTTTGGAAAAGTCGGATGTAAAAAGATTTATAAATATACATTATATAGAAAGGAATAAGAAAATAAAGTAAGACGAAAAGCAATACTGACATCAAACCCCAATCAACCAACCAACCAGCCGTCTGTCTACCTTAAACACCACCCAATTTGATCCATCGCTCAATTCCAACTCCAACGCCTAGCACCAGCAGATAGATATATCTTATTTTCAAGAATGCCTGCTCTCTCTCATAACACATTAACCCATCAAATCACAACCCTCCACCTTCCATATCCCAAGAAATCCACCCAAATATCCTAATAAGCATCCTCATACTCCTGTTCCAACCTCTCATGTTCCCGCCACTCCACATCCTCAAAGCTAATTTCCCCACTGGGCACACAAATCGGACATGGCACCGAATTTCCCTCTCCAAACCCTGTTTCCGAGATCCACATACTCCCATTACAACTCATGCACTGTGGCGCATCCATCATATCCGATTTCTCACCCGCGTAGTACATTTTCTCTCTATCTCTCTCCCCATCTCGTTTCTTCTGCTCCCTCGCTTCGATCCTCTCGTTTGCACATTCCTCATTGCAGATTATGCATTTATATCCATTTGCATTGACATATACTCTCCGGAGACACTTTCTACATCTCCACCATCTAGGATCGATTTGACGTTCTTCGAGCCACGCTTGTTGAAGCGCTTCTAATTTCTTCGGATCGTGTGTATTCTTGGGTTGTTTAGCGGTCCCGATATCTTCCTTGTGGAAATCTTTGAGATGGTCTCGATAGTGATCTTTGCGGGTAAAGGGTCCTTTGGATCGGGTACAGGGTTTGTAGTCACAGGGAAAACTCCCCTTCTGGTCGGCATCGGCGTGGATATGTCTGTAATGACGTTCTAGGTCTGCAGGCCTTCGGAATTGCTTGCCTGGACATCCGATGGGGAATTGGCAAGGATAGATGCCTTTTTGAGGATTACTTTGCTGTGTGAGTATTCGTTAGAGTTTTGAAGTGTGGATCGACGTACCTAGGTGGGTCAAGAAAGACTTTCTGGGGTGTATCTTGATGAATTGTGTATCCTGGAAGTAGTTCTAGATATGGCTCTTTTCCTTTTGGCACAATTAACTTGTAGAGTCTGAGAAGTTCGGTTTCGGGAGACCAGCCGAGACTAGATGGTGTTGCTTTGAGAGAATAGCTTTGGTTTGATGAGCTTCTCTCCATACTATATGATGATGTGGTGTAGTTGCTGTATCCCTGATTATGTCCATCATCATAGTATTGCGGTAGTTGGGAGGTGTTCAAATCGAAAGACATGGATGGACTTCTAGGAGCCGGAGAGTAGAACTCCCTAGAAGATCTAGATTGAGTACTGACTGAGCCTTGATCCGAATAATTTCGATTCATGAGAACCGGATAATAAAAGTCTCTAGAAGATCCGGATTGAGTGCTGGTCGAGCTTTGATCAGAACGGATTCGATTCATTGGAAATCCCCCCATTGATGGTGCTGTGGTCGGATTAGGCCGAGATATACCTTGATCAAGGTATTGTCTTGAACTCAAGTATTTATCAAACAAATTGGAATACATGATAGATAGCAGGCTTGTTTTGGAAATGGTTCTGTGTACCCTTTTCCATGATATTAGTCTAGACCTCACTTGAAAGGTATCATCATCTGTTTGGAATGCACTTTGACTAGGTTGTATGAATAGAAGATCGACAGTATAAGTAAGATTCACTTACTAGGTATTGATATATCTAAAGAGAGATGACGAAAGAAATAAATTTTGATCTAAAAGAGAAATTTCAGGAAGAAGGACAGTGATGCTTGTATAGTAATATGAAGATCTTGACTTTTTGGGGTTTTTTGTGACATGATATAGCTGCTTAAGAGTGGTGGGAATTTGCGAGGCTTCTCAATACCCAACACTTAACAGTCATATCCTCACGGTCAGTCAAGTCCTGGAGTACTCACATGCATCACCTATGACCTGTACAATTAGACGGGGGTTAAAATTAACATAGCTTAATATTTACCAATGAGGTCTCACAGCCTTGTGATATCCATAGTGAAAGGTTGCCCCGGAAAACTTTAAATGGCTCCTGGTGCTTCGTTGAATGCATTCATATGCATAGAAAGGTAATAGAAAGCCCCTCGCACTTATTGAGCGGGATCTAACTTAATGTACTCACCGAACATCAAATTTTTGAGAAATTTCGACTCGCCAATGAAACATGTCAGCAATTTTTGGGCCTGTGTAATGTTGAGATTGAAGCTAGGATTCCGGCTACCTTCTAGCCTTATCGTCGAACGGCACAGTGGGCGGACGTTCGAAAAAAGAAGCATTTGCTTTTGGGCAACTTAAGCCTCAATGAGGCGAACGATAATAATCCTAGGATTGTGGTCCGGCCAGCCGAAAAGGCAACTGAAGGGGCATTGCGTCTGTCGGTGATCATTGATGCCCTATATGCGCAGCAAGGCACAGAACAATAGAATGCTCACAGGAATGATCAAAATGGGGCATTTTGCTTAGTAGATTGAATACCTTAGGGTATCATAATCGCCGGACGCTGATTAACCATATTGGCGGCGGGCGCAGTAAAGACGAGTGTTGAGGTATCGCGAAATCGTCGTAATAGAAGGGAATCTATTTTCAAACCTGATCTGGGCAACTTGTTCCTATATCATTGCTCCAATGCTGACCGGCAGTCTCAAAATAATGCATCTTGAAGAGTAGAAAATTCGTGTTTACTCTCCTATGGACCATTGCGATTTGGAAACCTTCTTGGGAATGGAACCGTCCCTTTAGGCAGCAAGGTGTGAAAAGAGAGGGAATAACTGTCCGCCTTCTTTTGCCTTCGTTCGTTGTACAATTTCATTTGCTTGTGCTAACGATAACTGGCAGACGCCGATGTAACACTTGGCTGTGTCTTTCTCAACTGCCACATTCAGTGAACTCATCATCGCATGTAAAGAAATGGCTGCATCATGTCCTGAAAGAAGAGTTGTAGAAGCACGAATACTTCTGTCAAGGATCTGAATCCATGTACAAGCCCCATGCTTACGAAATGTGGCATGTCTGAATATAAGACAATAACTTGGACCTGCTTCTCATTAGTATTTCTCCTGTGAAACAATCAAAATATAGAAATATACACTGAACACAATTGTCTGAAAAGAAATCAAACAAATACTGAGGGAACTGCAGTCTCAGTATTCGATCAATATTGTGCCCGACACTCATGGTTTGCCATTCACCGTCGCATATTCGAGGTTGCATACCATGCATTGTCGCTTGGCTCAGCGAACACTCTTTGGGGTCCAAATTTGTGCGCAGTTGGTTGTACTTGGGTAGAGACGAGGCAAAGAGGCATATGCAAGGAAATCATGTTTTCTTCTTAAAAAAAATCGAAATCTGGGGAGAGCTTACATGCTTTTATAATATCTGAAAATTGGGTATCAAACATTGAAAGTGATGATGCCCAAAGTTGTTGTCATGCTCGTACATGATATCTGCAGGCCATTTCATTGCGACCTATGGAGATAAACCAACCATTTAGGACAAAATTTTTGACAAAAAGACGAGAACCTGGACTAAAGTCTAGATTGCTCTAGTTAGGGTTACTATTGCCATATACGAATAGATATCCAATCAACCCACAGTTTGTAATGAGCCCTGAATAAGGTCGTTTTTGGATTCGCCAATTACGCTCAAGTACAACTCTTAGTATGGAGACTAGTTCGTCCAGACCAAGGCAAGAGAACAATTAGAATCTTCGGATGCTATTAAACTTTCCCCATTCTGTTTGCCTTGGAGAATACATTTCATCAATTGGAATAAATTGTAGTCTCATCATGCATGCCCCCGTTCACAGAACACAGTAATACCGAAGTGATCAGTAAGCCAGTATGGCAAAGCGAAGTTTGGCAGATATCACAACGAGCAAACATTTTATTTTTCTGAGGAATATTGCCAGGTAAGTTAAGAAACTTCATCTGAGTCGAATCAGATGAGCAAGAGTATTTTCTATTAAGACAACTAAGGTCATCCCCCAAGCTAGATACGGTTGAGCAATTCCCACTGCGCCAACCTATCCTCCAACCAAAAGATACCATAGGCGCCAGTGCATTATTCATACATCGTCCTCTAGGAATTTGTAGATAAACTTGAAGTCTGCTTTTCTTCGGTTCATCCTATAGATAGTTGGTTAGTTGATGTTTTAGAAAAGAATGAATAATATAAAACTTACCATGTGCTCTCATAATCAAAGAAACGATAAGTTCCTTGCTCATACAGCTCAGTAATTTCCTTTGGCTCTTCATGTCGTTGGAACCAAGTTTGATATTGTTTATGAAATCGCCAACTCTGTTCTTTTAGTGATCTAGCTGCAAGATATTGTTGATATGTAGCTTGCTTGTAGTAGAAGACATAGAACAAAGTTTCTCCATCTATACGGTTATATAACCTAGGGTCATCTAGCACTGACGGAACATCTTGGGGGTAATATGATGGCGTATTGAAAGGGGTTTCTGGTTTGTAGCTGCGAGGAGGAGAAACGTCTGACATGCCGGGACCACTAGCCTGAGATGATGCCAACATTCTCTGAGATGCTGTGGATAAAACATCTGGGGCACTCTTTTGAATTACCTCAAAAGATTGAAGCATGTCCTGGAACCCTGAAGGCAAATGATATACAGATTCTGTGTTCTCTGGTGTGCTTGACTTAAGCCCATTCGAGACACCATTCGATTGTGGTGGAACAGCTTGCATAGGACTGTTAGCATTGGAATTGCATGAGATAGCAATAGACAAACCTTTCTTGCCTTCTGCTGTCTTGGACAAGGCTGGTTGCTTCCCTGATGAATTTGAGGAAAGATTTGGTCTCATATTCTCTGTTTTTTCAACAGGATGGGACACACTTGCTCCACTGGGTGCAGCACTTGATTGACTCAAAGCTGGAGATTTAGTTTGCGCACTTGATGGTGTGTCCGTAGTCGGAACACTGGATCGTGTCACAGGTGTCTGATTGACACTCGCGGTTTGTGAATGTATAGTTGTTGGAGATGCCGTTACACTTGGTCTTCGTCCAGCACTTCCAGATAAAGGTGGGTGACTGACTGACGTTGCGGGGGTCGGTAAGGTTTCGGGTGGAGGGGGCAAAGGAGCAAGGCCATTCTTATCACTAGCAGCGGCAGCCGCCGCCGCCGAAGCATATTTCAATGTCTCCCCAGGAGCACGTGTAGGTACCGCAGCTGGTTTCATAAGATTACTTGAGCTTCCATTTGTTGACAAAGTCGATAGAGGGGTATGTAAAGTGGCCAAGGAAGGGAGAGGGCTTTTTAATTGCGTAGAAGGTCTTCGTGCAGCAGCTAGAGGCGGTTCTGGAGCTGATTTCGATTTCCCAGGTAAACTATTGGATCGTAGATCTGTATCTGGTACATCCTCCTGTATCGATTGTGTGTCTTGTGATGACACTCGATCATTATCATTATTCATGCCGTAATTATCTTCTTCCTCATCAAGGTTGAGCTCATCATACATTTCCTCGTCCTCCATGAAGTCATCGTTCATATTGTCGGTCACATAATATTTGATGGACTCCTCAAGATCTTTAACTTGCTCCACCTCGACAGTACCATTTTCCAGGCAGCGTTTAATAAGCTCCAACTTATTTTGATGAAATTTATGCCGTTCCGTTGAGTTGTCCAGCTCTGCTATTCTATCGGCCTTGGCACTTTGAGTTTTCCCCTTCTTCATCGTTGCTGATATTGATTCCCGTTCGGCCTCCATTGTCTCGATCTGGCGCTCTAACTCTTCTACCATGTTGCCCAAGAATTCCCCAGTTTCCATTTTCGCGCGCTCCTTTGGATCCAGTTTCGCAGCCGCCGACAGCCCTTCTTTCGAATATGCCTTTGTCTTCATAGCCTTCTCTACTGCCTTGAACTTCTCCATTTGCTAGAACAGTTTAGCTCACTCCACAGTTAAGTCAATATATGCCCTACCGTTTCAATCAATTTCCTGTGATCTAACAGAGGACCTTTATCCTTTATATCATTACTTGCAGCCCATGTCTTGATTTGATCACGAAGCCTCTGCAACTTTTTGATCTCACGTTTGAGGTTGTCCTCCAACTTCTCCTTCTGCGCAGCATTTGTGCATTGTTCTATCTTGTCGTAGATCGATTCGAATTCTGCCACTCCTTCAGTGACTTTCTTGAAGCACTTGTCGACTTCCTGCTGAAGTTTTCGTGCCGCCATCGTGTAATTGTGAGGGGTACGGAGAAATGTATTGATGGGTTGGTGTTTGGTGATTGCTGTTGTGTACAAGGGGCTAGCTTTGTTTGACAAATATCAGAACCCATGCGTGGTATAGATGTCTAGCTTGAGCCTTTGCGTGAAGAGGTGGTAGTACAAGGAATCTACAATTACCTTGCTACCAAGTAAATGAGTGGTATTTGTGTGAATGTGTGGTGGTGAAAGGTTGAGAAGTTGTTGCTGGATTTCGGATTGGATTTCACGTTGCGACCATATTGCTTGGGTGAGATTGCGGGAAGAGAGCCTCGCTTGCACCTTACCTTCATCACCTGCAGCCTTAGAAGAACGTGGGGGAAATGCTTATGGGCAAGGTTTACAGAAAGAATGCCATGGCTGAGCATGGAATGAATATATGCTACTGTGTGGAATTGGATTCTCATTTTTGAATTGATATTTTGATTTATAATTGAATTATCTTACGATGCTTTCGATCATCAGAATTTTACATTTTATATGGTTGTGATAAATTGTTATTCATCATGGATGAAATAAATGCTCAAGTAGGGATTGCATCATATGGTCCCCAAGTAGGCTATCATATAGAGTCTTGTTCCTACCTGTCGATATCATGGACTGGAAATTCAGACTATTAGGAAACCTCAACCTCCCACTTCATTGTATAAATCGATCCTAGAGAGAGATCGATCTTGACATTATTAGTCAGAACATCAATAAGACCCATTCAATCCCAGTCATTTGCCTACCCAGCTACTGGTAAATATGAAGGGTATCACTTCCAACTTCACCCCTCCTTCGCTCCTTTTTTGCTCTCCAGACTTGATACTTACTAGCTTCTGCTTAGCTATACTTCAACGTGTTCTGTCTGCTTCTGTAACGGTAGACAAGCAGTTGATCTCATCAATTGGGAAAGGCATATTAGTATTTGCCGCTGTGGCTCCTGGTGATACGGAGAAAGATGCAGAATCGATGGCAGCAAAAGTCTTGAAAATGCGATTATGGGATGATGAAAATGGCGGCCGGGTAGGAACGAGGAGTCTCTTTACTCTTTTGATCTAGAGAAATGACCCTCTGTTATTTCACACCAAACAGTGATTGGGTCATTCACTTGCTGTTTTGTTGTTCTTGCTTGCCTACAGTCCTAATACATTTATTTCATTTCATAGTGGAAACACAATGTACAAGACATCCAAGGAGAAGTTCTCTGTGGTATGTGAAGATAATCGAGTACTACCCTCAGACATGGGAGTCCCACAAACTGACAATTTCTGTCATATGTCAGTCTCACAGTTCACATTGCTTGCCTCAACGAAGAAGGGTTCAAAGCCAGACTTTCATGGAGCTATGGGAGGGGACCAAGCTAGGGAATTATATCAACTTTTTGTGACAAAGGTTCAGCAAGGTTATGCGTCAGAAAGGGTCAAAGATGGTGTGTTCCAGGCAATGATGGTAGGTCACGCCATAATCTACACTGCTCGGGTCATTTTGCTAATGAATGTTTGATTGTAGGAAGTGGCTTTGGTGAATGATGGCCCGGTTTGTCTTTCTTATCATTGGCTAAGTGCATGCATGTATATTCTGGTACTGATACTGTTAGGTAACACTCGAGATGTCGACCAGGTCAAATGAGAAGGCATGAAAGGCATGGCGGGATTGCAATCCCAGGCCATTTGCAGTTCATTCACAGTTTATGGCTGAACACATTTGAATCTGTAGAGGCCCTAATAAGCACAAGGCCAGAGAAATGGCTAGTGGTTACTATCTCCACATACACATAGACGTCTCAAGACATTCCAATTGTTCATCTTGAAGTTACAGCTTCTATAGGTATTGATAGTAAACCATGAAAGATTTCATCACCAACATGGCAACATAGAATTCTATAACCAACATGGAATACTCTGGATCTTCCTTTCCGATGAAGTGAATGTCATGATGAAGTAAATGTCATGATGAAGTGAATATCATGCCACACGTGAATAGCCTCATTCTCCTCTTTAAGTAAAGCTTCAAATCGGAAGGTACAAACGCCGACCCCCACATTCCAACTCTCCATCTCGAAGCTTCTACTCACAAGAAGGCTGAAATTATTAGAAAAAAAGCAATCAAACAATCA